TTTCTTAATTTCTTTTACTGTGATAAAAATATACATAACATAAAATCGAACTCTTAGCCATCTTTAAATGCACAGCCAAGTGGCATCAAGTGACTACGCCGTCATGCAGCCACCACCACCATCCATCCACAGGACTCCTTGCATGGAAAACTGAAACCCCGTGTCATTAGACGGTGCGGCCCTGGCTGGGCACCCGCCACGCCACTTCCTGGTCTCTGAGCCCGGCTGCTCTGTCTCCTTGTGTAAATGGAGTCCTGCGGTGGTCGTCTCTTGGTGGCTGGTTGATCTCGCTCGGCACAGTGTCTTCCAGGTGCATCTGTGTCACAGCGTGGCTTGGAATTCCCTTATCCTTTACAGTTGTGTGCATCATATGGATGGAGCAGGTTTTGCAGGCCCCACGCAGTTGCCTGGGCTGCGCCCGCCTTTCCGTAGCTGTGAACATGGCGAGCAGGTTCCTATTTGTAGGCCGCCTCTCGCCTCTCGCCTCTTGCCTCTCGGCCAGGGCCTCCTGTGGCATGGGTAGAAAGTTGGCACAGTGTCATTCCAACCCACTCTTGGTTGGAGGGCAGGCTGGATTCAAAGGGTGTGGCCACTGGAGGCCACCGGAGGAGCAGCCCATCACAGCCACTTGGGGAAGGATCCTGCAGACCTCTCAGGCAACCCCACCAAGGCCTGGCTCAGCCCGCCAAGGCTTCTGGAATGCACGGGTGCCGTGGCCCTGGCGCTCTGGGCAGGGCCCGTGGAGGAGCTCGAGCCCCAGCCCAGCTGTTCCCTCCCTGGAGGGGACTGCAGTTGCTCTGCATCTTGCTTGCTGACGGCTGCGCCTCGTATTACATAATCTGTCTTTCTGTGCTGCACCAGGCCCTGGTTACTTGTCAAAAGTTTCCAAAAGCCAGTTGTATCAGCTCCAGGCAACTGGGGGTGCTGCCTCTCCCTCATAGTATTAGTCACTCTGTACTTGGCTAAATTTAACTTTTTATCATCCAAATGATATTTTTGTGGGCTTGGGATTTTACATAATGCTACCAACTGCTGCAGGCTAAGAATTTCTCCTTTTTGTTATGCGTGTGCGCGCTTGTGCATTGTGCTGGTTTTTTCCCCTGTGAACTTGCACACTCAATACTTGCACACTCAAGCAAGCACAGCTGGGTTCCTTCTCTCCAGCTCTGCCTTCCCAGGTCTGGGTTTCATGCCTCCAGGCTCTGCCATGGCCGCCCACCCACTGGGAGAGGAGGAGTCCTTCGGCCTCACAGTGGCCCTCTGACCGTCCGCACCCCTGTCACTGCAGAGCCCTCACCCAGGGTCTCCTGGGGCCCTCTGCCTCCAGCAGTCTGGGCTTGGGAAAGAGCAGCATGCTCATGAGCAGGAGAGGGAGGAAGCTGAAGGGACAGCAGTGAGAGAAGCAGCCAGCCTCCCTGCGGGGTCTGGGTGGCAGGCCCTTCCCTGGGCCTGGGTGGGGGGCAGGCACAGGCGGAGGCCCAGGGCTGTTCCTGATGAGAGGGTGGGTGGAGACCCGCTCTCAGGAGGGCCTGGCACAGCATGTGGGGAGGTGGGCCTGTAGGGCAGCCATTCTAGCCCCTGGAGCCCCTTGCCTGGAAATGGCTGCACAGTGGGCCCTACCCGGGGGTCTCATGGGCCTGGAGGTGCCTCCTTCCTGGTGAGGAAGCAGGGTCAGCTCAAGGGGGCAGAGGAGTAGAAATAACAGGACAGAGGCAGTGACCGTCAGTGCTTGGATCAGGCAGTTGCTTTGACTGGCTGCTGGACTCAGGCTCTGTGACATAGCCACTAGTGTCCACTGCCTCTCAGATAAGGAAGCCAAGTCCAGGGAGGCTCAGTGCTGCTCCGTCCTCAGAGCCAGGCTGTGGTAGACCAGGTGTCTGTTCTGTCCATCTGCAGGCCTTCTCAGCCTCTGGCTTTGTCACCTCTCCAGGCTAAGTGGCTTCCCACTTAGTGGCTGACCCGCCCAAACATCGGATGCCAGCTGTGCCCTGCGCTCTTCCCTGGCATCCTTAGGCCGACTCTGGCCTGATCTGCCCTCCCAGGCACTGGTTTTCAAAATGGATGGTGTGTATGGCAGGATCAGGCAGAACAGGAATTTGCCTCTGGTCCCAGGACAAAAGGGAAACTTACTCTTTTGAGTTTTGAGAGTTTTTCAAAATGCACATGTATTTCTTGATTTAAATTAAGCAACATTATTTTATTTAAAAATTAGGAACCCCCAGGTATATATACTCAGAAAAGTCAAGATTACATGTCCACAGGAAAACTTGTTCACAAATACTCTCATCAGCCTTGTTCAAACAGTCAAAATGTAGAAAGAACCAGCTGTCCTACAGCAGACAGGTGGAGAAACAATGTGGCCAGTCCACACAGTGGAATATTACTTGGCCATTAAAAGCAGTGATTCACTTCTGTGCGCCAAAGGCCGGAACTGAGAGCATAATGCTAAGTGGAGAAGCCAGACACAGAAGGCGCCTGTGGGTTCCATAATGCCAAAGAGATACAGAATACAGTGTGTGGCCTCCGGAAGAGGCAGACCCCTAGAGGCAGAAAGCAGATGGGTGGTTGCCAGGGCCCGGAGGAGGGAGGACAGGAAATGACCACTCTTGGGCACAGGGTTTCTCTTAGGGTGATGAAATGTTTCAGATGTGAGTGTGCTGATGGCTGGACACTTACCACAGCTCCCACCCCCAGTCCTCCAGCCACCCGCCTCAGGCTCCATGTCGTCCAGGGGTGAGGCCAGCTCATGACACTACCCACTTGCTTGGAACTCGAGCTCCCAGCCAGGGCCGGCTCGAGACACGCGGACGTCTGGGTAGGCTTGCAGCTTGGCGCCCCTTCAAGCCGGTATTCTTTAAGTGTTTGTTTGACATTTATTTAGTGGGGATGAGGAGAGACTGATAGGCTATTAATAGAAACCGTATAGAGAAACAGATTCACTTACTCGTTCACTCCCACCGCCCCACTCGGCACCAGGGAGCTGAGAGATGTTTAGGGAAGCAGTTCTGACTTCTGCCGTTCCTGTGGGTCTCCGAGGCTGTTTTTGTTTTGTTTTCCTGTTTTCTGTCCCCTGTGATTCCCCACGTCCTTTGAGAAGCACAGTGAAGACATAGTTTGAAAACTCTCAGGGGTGGAGGGCTTTCCTTTAGTCCCTGGGCCCAGCAAGCGGGGGGGGGGGGGGGGGGTGTCACTTGGTTTCAGACCCTTGGCCCCAGGACCTTGGCTATGGTCATCAGGGTGCCTCCAGGGCTCTCAGCAAGGAATCCCATGTTGTTGTGGGTTTCGTTTCCCTTCAGGGCGTGGACTTTATGTGAGGGGGTCACTGCCTCCACAGGCAGCAGCTTTCCATGTCATTGCAGGGGTATTTTGTGCCCTGCTGGTCTGGCTCCTCACCAGATCCTGCCTTCACTTATTGGACTTTAAAAATACGGTTTTTTTTGGGGGGGGGTCAGAAATACCATTCCCCTGGCACCCCTCTTTGCGTTCCAAGAGCGCCTTTTTTCTCCTTGCCCCTGTGGATCTAATTCTGCTGGGTGTGAGTCACCATTGACCTTCTCACCCACGGGGAGGCATCCTGAGGTGTGGAGGGGCCTTGCCTGCCAAATCTGGTCACCCTTGGCCGGGGTGTCACCGTGGTGAGCACTCAGCCTGTGTGGGATTCCTGACCTCCCAGTGGGGGGATGCTGCTGACCCTGCCGTGTTGGGGTGGCAGTGACCCTGAGAAGCAGGTGTAGGGCCCTGCAGAGGCACCTGAGCAGTGTGCAGGAGCCCGGGAGCCGCACCCTAGGGCCCTCTAGGACCTGGGATGCTTTATTGTGCAGGGTCCATGTGGGCACAGACTGAGGCCCTGGAGCTGAGGGCGGAGGCGGGCTGCCGAGGAGCCTAGGTCCTCAGAAGTTGTCTGCAGCCCTGGCTGTGGCTTCCCTGGGAGCGTGGGCTGGTGGGGGCGTGTGTGAAGAGCCCGTTCCCGCACTGCCCACCGCCTGTACCAGGCTCTCTGCGCCTCCCATTCCCTCCTCTCCTGCTCTGGCTCCTGCATCTGTGCTGCTCGCTGGCAGTTGATCACTTTGTCATTCCGAGCCTCCATTCAGTTCCCCTGGGGTTGGCTTATACCTGTCAAGACCTGCTCACCCTCTAGGGGCACAGACGGGTACCTGAGGGGCCCGGGCGCCTGGCTCAGCCTGTAAAGCAGGGCTGTCCTGGACTTGGGGCTTCGGTTCCTGGACCCATCCAGCATCCACAGCCTGCAAGGGAGCTGCCTTCTGGCCGTGGTCATCAGGGGTACCTCCTAGGCCACTGCCTGCTCCCTGCTCATAGGTACAGGGGTTCCAGGATGTCTTGTGCTGCACTGTAGCCTGGGGGTGTCCTGGGTCCCTGTTGGAGCCCCAGACTGGGTGGCAGCTTCAGTGGCATCTGTGGGGTCGGTTAGACTCAGGAGTCCCTGGAGGCCCCTCTCTCTTGCAATTCTGTTGTGTGCTCATCTTGGCCTTGGTGGCTTGCAAAGGGGGCGTCCCGTCCCACCGTCCAGCTGGAGGTCCTACATCTTCTGTCTGAGTGCTCTGGGGCACACACCCCTGCTCTTCTTCCTGCTTTGTCTGGTTTTCCAGCCCCTCACCCTCCCCAACTCACAGTTTGGGGTCCTCTGATCCCAACAGGTTTCCTGGGTGAAGACCCTAAGGCTTCCAGGAGGGGAAGGAGGCAGCTGTGCGTGCGGGTATGGGTCCAGCTCCCGGCAGTTTCCTCAGCACGGGGCAGTGTCAAGGTGCACCCGTCACCAGTTCTAAGCCAGAACTTGCTCCCTGAGAGCACCCTGGACTGGGTCGCTTTGTAAAGTGGAGACCCCCTCACTCAGATGTCCCGTTCTATCCTCTTGTTCCAGGGGGACCGGGCTTTACGTCGTTGCTCTGGTGAGACTGGCTCTGCTGACCTCCCTGCGGATTAGCATGGGTGATTGGGAGTCCCGTCATCTCACCTCCCTCCTGTTGGGCTTCTTCCTGCAGGATGCTGGCACGTGTGTCCTGGTCCCCGACACCCTTCTGTGGGCCTACTGATCTGTTCCTCTTCGGTGGCAGGGACATCAACGGAGCCACTCAGACCTGCAGGTAAGGCCACGCCCTGCACAGTGATCAGCCTCCTGGCCTTCAGGGTTTGGGTGTGTGGAGCCCGTTGCCCTTTCCTCCTCCCTTAAAACCCTGACCATCTGATCAACATGGGGTAGGTTGTGTTCATTGATTACGCTTCTTACAAATATTGGTCTATGTTCCTCACATAGGAAGGACCTGCATCCTATGTCTGGTACCTCTGGATTCCAGATTTGATACCACCCTGGGGCCCCGGTGGCACCCTGGGTGGCTCTTTGCCACTCCTGCCCTGTGCTACCCACTCCGGGACCCTTGGAGTTTTGCCTTGAAGATGGCGGCTCCTTCCAGAGCAGAGCCCTGGCTCCAGCCTCGCCCTGTTGCCCACCAGCTGTGGTCAGTGGTCAGTGGCCCAGAAACCAGCATGGGCGTGTTTTCACGGATACTCTCCCTCTGGGCACTCACTCCCCAGAGAGAAATGGAGGCCGGTGCACTAGTGGCCGCCTCAGGACCAGAGATTGAGTGGCAGATTCCTGGCACCCTCCACCTTCTGCCCAGCGGAGAGCAGAGCCCCGCCCGTCCCCGCCCGCCTCTGGCCTCTATACTTCCTATGCCCCACCCTGCCCTTTGTTCATGCTGAGGCCTTTGGTGCCTAGAACAAGAGCAGAAGTGGTTTCCTCTCCTTTCCTGGACTCCCCTGCCCCCTGCCCCCATGTACTCTTCGTTAGTGTGAGCTTTGGGGTCCTAGAGCCTGGGTCTTCCATCCAGGGAAGCTCAGAAATTGGGGAGGGGGGCAGTTGAGGTCCCTAGCCTCTGCTTTGTGGGGCTGGCCGTGGCCTTTCAAAGCACCATCTATGCCAGTCTCACAGCAACGCTGCCCAGCGGCCACTGGCGTCTTGTTTCACAAGAGGGAGTCAAAGCTGAGGTGCAGAGATGGCAGATGTCAGACTCACAGTCACACAGCTAGTCAGCGCTGGCTTTGGGACTGGACCCCAAGTCTGAACTTGGGAGCCTGTGGTCTGAATTTCCAAGTTTAGCCCCTGATGCAGGGACCCTGGTTCAGGCCCAGGCCCAGGCCTGGATTTCAGCCTGGCTCCTGCCCTCCCAGGCCTCCCTCCTTGCTGGGTGGGTGCCTGGCAGGGTGCCCAGGGCCCAGGCTGCCTGTGGCAGGGCGAGTGTGTCCAGCTGAGTCTCAGGCGGGCGCCGCGGGCTGTTTTCTTCTCCGACTGCTCACCCTCTTTCCTTGCTGTGAAAAGGCCCGGGTGTGAAGGGGCGAGGGTGCTATGTTGTGTCTTTGCTTTTTGTTTTGTTTTAGTTCACTTTCTGAGGTGTCTCAGCTGCTGGGTGGGGGTGGGGCGTAGTAATGCTCAGCTCTGACGCCAGGCTTCTCCAGGGGTCACTGCTGCTCACTGGGGTTGTGCCACATGCTGGGGGCCTTGGCCTCCCCCTCAAGGCAGGAACCTGGGTGAGCTGCTCCAAGGGACCCTGCCCCAGCAAGCCTGGGCTTCCTGCTTCCTTTCTTACAGGAAGGGGTTCTTCTCCTGCTGGGCAGCTGCATTCCAGAGGGGGTTGCAGAGAGGACATCCTGTGCCTGCTTCCCCTGGAGGTCCTTGCTGGGACCCACAGTGTCCTTAGGAGTTCTGTACCTACTCACTTATCCTGAAAATATTTATTGAATATTTATGGAATGCTTGGCATGTGCCAGGTATTGCCCCAGGTGCCAGGCACACAGCTGTGCCTGGGGCAGACAGGAGTCCCCACAGGCCGGAGCTGCTGCCCTGCGTGCTCTGTGCTTTGCTGATGCTGCTCCAGTGTCTCCCCGCTCCCTCTTCCTCCCCTGCCCGTCAGGTTCCATTTCAAACACCTCCTTTTCTCTGAAGCTCTTTGCAGGCCCCTGACCCACGCTAGCCGCCCCCCTTCCCTGTGTCGTCACAGCGGTTCCGAGGACAGAATTCTTGGCACCATACGCCAACATGGCAGGATGGTCAGGATCACCCCCTGAGCTCCTAGGAGCTGGTGGCCACGATGGGCATAGAGGCCACTGTGCTCTGGGCAGAGGGAGGTTGCGGGTGGAGAGAGGCAACCCTGGGCAGGGGTGGCTGAGAACGCCCCTCCAGGCTCTCTTTGGGAGCCCCAGGGCTTATATTTAGACAAGTTCCTTCCTCCAGAGAAGCCCGGAGCCTTTTCTTTCAGAAGGTGGGGTAGGGGTAGGGGGTGGCAGTTGGGGGCCGGGGCAGCACTGGTGTTTCTCAGCACAGCCTGGCCATCTTCTGCATCCACCTGACTCAGAGTGGCATCCAGAGAGAGGGTCTGCCCCAAAGAAGGGGCCCCCATAGGGAGAGCCCCACCCCAGTGCTGCCCTACTAGTTGGAGATGGTTGAGCGGAGCCGCTGTTCACCTTGCGACCTTGTGGCAGACACAGGGGGAGGGTCTGGGGCGCAGGCAGTGGCTTCCTTCCGGACTCCCCGTGGGAGGGGTGTTTCCTGCCATTGTCTCCATGACAGGCCTTGGCAAGGGGACTGCCTCCTGAGGAGGAAGAGAGCTGAGAACTGAGGCAGGACCTCCACCTGAGCAGCAAGGGACACAGGCTCCTGGTGGGCCTGGCCTGGCCGGTGAGGAATCCACCTGCGCCAGCCCACAGGCCGTTTTCACCCCTCCTCTGGGCGGTTCTGCCCCCTGGGAGCTGGCCTAGGCTGGGTGGGTGGGTAGGGAGAGGTTAGGAGGCTGTCCACCTAGAGCAGAGGGAGGCCAACAGGAGAGGAGGCCTCGGAGCAGGAGGCTGCCCTGAGGTCTGTGAGGACAGAGCTTCCTTCTGAGCTCTTTGTGGTCCCCATAATGCTGGCAGGAGAGCCGGGAGGGACCTGACTCTGACCCGTGTCCATGTCCTGGCTTGACTCTCGACTCCAGCCCCCTCCCGCTCTGCCAGGTGGTGGGCTTCAGCGGGAGATCACTGGGGCCTCTCCCTGCTCCCTGCCCCTCCCCCAGGCTGGCCTCTGCAGCCTCCCATCCTTCAGCCTTCCGCCCAGGCAGGACAGCAGTCAGACACAGAGGGTCAGTGAGAAGCACTCACTGCACTGCCTTCCACAGCACCTGGCTCCTGAGGCCGAGCGGTGAGAGGAGAGGGGTGAGTGGCATGGGTGCGTCTGGGGACCAGAGACCGGCCTGTCCCTAAGCGCGGTGCTGCCACAGGGCCTGTGCCATGCTTGCCCGAGGTTCAAACTGTGCCTGGCCGTGTCTCCCTCCCTCCCGCCTGTCTTCTGGTCCGAGCTGCCTGCATCTGTTCACGCCTCCTGCTCCCTGGACGTTGGTGGGGAGGTCCTCCTGCCCCTCCTCTCAGGCAGAGTATGCAGTTCTTTTCTTTCCATAGTCACCCACTTAACTCTAGAGCTGTACGGTCACTTTTATTCCTGGGGAGTGTCCAGAGCTAGGAATTCTCAGAGGGATTCCCAAGAGGGTATTCAAGCGGGAGGGTTGTGTGGCTCTGCTGTGTTCCCTGTAGCAGTACGAGTGACCCCAGGTGGGTCCAAGTGTGTGACAGCCATTAAAAATTCTGCAAACAATAGACCAACAGGGAGTGGAACAGATGTTAGATGATGATCAAAGCTAAACAAAGCTGAAAAGAAGGCCTAAGAAGGGACAATGACACAAAGGCCTGGAAAAGGTGAGGGAGAGAGCCAGGAAGGTCCCCTGGGGAAGAACATATGGGCAGAGCAGACAGCCTGTGCAAAGGCCCTGAGGCAGGAGCTGTTCAAGAAGCTGGAGTAAGTAAGGGGAGGAGGTGAAAGAAAAATGAGCCTGCATGGAGTAGGGCCTTGTAGGTCAGGTCGGGGCTTTGATCTTGACTCTGAGGTGCTGCAAAGCTGCTGAAGTCAAGGGCCAGTATCCAACTTGTATTATAAAAGGATGGCTTCTGGCTACTGTGTTAAGGGTGGGGTGCAGAGAGGGAGCAGGGAGACCAGGGGGAAATGATGGTCACAGCAGGAGGTGCAGGGCGCCTAGACCAAGCTGGCACAGGGGCCTTTGCAGCACATGTTTAGCACCCCTGGGTTCAATCCCTTGTACCCTCAGGGCCTTTGCAGCACATGGTTAGCACTCCTGGGTTCAACCCCACCCCCCAAAAAATAGAAAACGAAATCTTCTAGGTTCGACTTTTCATGTAAGCTCAGGGGAAACAGACTCTGTAAAGAAAGCTGCCTGTCTAGTCACACAGCAAATGGTTCGGCCCAAAATCGGGGCTTTTGGAATCTAACATTTCTGCAGCTGGACCAATGGGTGGCTCAATTGGTGGAGGTTTGGGGGCTGGAGGGAGAAGGGCTGTCCAAGGCCCAGGAGACAGAGCCCTGGGACCCTTAGTGCCATGGCCAGGAGACGAGGCTTTGTGAGCTGAGGATCTTGGCACTCTGGGTAGCGTTAGACCTTAGCTGGGCTGCAGCCTTGATGTCACCCGAGGCCCTGGCCGGATCCGAGTGGAAGTTCTCAAGTACTATCCATTCATTGTTTATCGAGTAAGGTATCCCAGTCCTCAGGAGCCCACAGTCCCAGGGAGGCAGACAGGTCGACTAAGGAAGCACATGCAGTGATCCTAAGCCCACGTTTGAGGTGTGTGCAGGGAACTGTCAAGGTCAGGGCATCCATTGTTGATCCAAGATAAGGCACTGAACACTCTCTGCAGCCACCAAATACCCCTGGTGAGCACAAGCCAGAGACCCATGTCCACCAAGATGTTCTGTTTGAATCCATGATTTAGTCTATTAATGCAGGGGCACAGGGGCTGGGGAGTGGCTCAGTGGCAAAGTGCTTGCCTCATGTATGGGAGGCCTTGTGTTCCATACTCAGCCCCACCAAAAATAAACAAAAAACCGAGAGTGGGCAGCAGAGACTGGTTAGGGTCTGGGTCTCTGCCCTTCAGCTGTGTCACTGAACTCTGAGGACTGACTTGGCCCAGTCCACTTGCTGGGAGGCCCTGTGGGCTCATCAGTGTGCTTCTTTGGAGGAGAAGGAAGGCTGGTCCCTTTTGTGTTGGC